ATACACATAATTATACATATATGTCTATATATATATAGATGACGCACAACAACTTCTCTCGGAAGGCCGAGGGGGACTGCCGAGCCTTCGGGGGAGGCTTCCTCCTGCTCCCTTCCCCCCCGTCGCTCGCAGCCGAGTCGGGGGGAAAGGGGGAGGCCCAAGCGCCCCGCGTCGGGAAGGAAGAAGAGGGTATACGAATCACAAGGCTCCGTGCCACTCCTGCCCACCCCCAGAGAGGCCCCGCCAGAGCGAGGAGGGCATCGGAGAACCATACTATTTACAAGGTTTTTGAGCAGGGACCGACCGTCCCTGCATTCCTATAGTCCTACCTCGACATGTTCTTAGAACCTAAAAATGTTGTAATAACAATGTTCTTAGAACATAAGCCCGATGTGCTCAAACAAGACAGTCCCAGCAAGAAATGTTCTTAGAAACCGCAGCAGGTTCTTAGAATATTGCTTGGTATGGCTATAGGCACGCCGGGACGCTTCGCCACTGCTTGAGGTTTCGTGCCCCTCCCAACCCCTCCACGGGAGGACCCGCCAGAGCGAGGAGGGTATCGGAGAACCATGCCATTTACCAGGTGTCGTGCCCATCCCACCCCTCCAAGGGAGGCCCTGCCTGAGCGAGGAAGGTATTGGAGAACCATACTAGTTACACAATTTCGGGTCCACCCCTCGAAGGGAGGCTCCGCCAGAGCGAGGAGGGTATCGGAACACCGTACTATTTACAAAGGTTCGTGCCCCTCCAGGGAGGCCCCGCCAGAGCGAGGAGGGCATCGAAACACCGTCATATTTACGCGGCTTCGTGCCCCTCACGGTCCTCCAAGGACGCCCCGCCTGAGCGAGGATAGTATCAAACCACAATACTGTTTACACGGTTTCGCGTCTTTCCCGCTCTTCCGGGGAGGCCCCGCCAGAGCACCATTTAGGCCCTTGACACCGCCCACAGAGGCCCCGAGCGCGCCCGCAGAGGCACCACCACGCAGCCCGCTCAGGCCCCCACTCGCAGCCCACAGAGGCCCCGCCACACTGCCCACTGAGGCCCTTGACACAGCCCACTGAGGCCCCGAGCGCGCCCACACCTCTCAGAGGCCCCACCACGCTGCCCATTTAGGCACTCTGTGACATTCTGATGTGGGGAACTCCGGAAGTATCATTTTCACATATGCACGAGGAGGTCGCCCCGCGGCTTGGGAAAACGAGAGGAAATCAGCAGGGGAGGGAAGAGCAAGAGGAGAAGCAGCAGCAGCAGCAGCAGCAGCAGCAGCAGCAGCAGCAGCAGGCCTGAGCGTCGCGTGGCGCTGGGTGACTCTCGCGCGTGCCACCGCCCAGGGGGGTCGCCCCGCCCCCTCCTCCCACACCGATGGGCTCGCAACGTGGGGGCGGCGCCGGCCAGGGGCCCCCCCGGGGGGGGCCCGATCGCGGAAGCACCGCAGACGGGCCGGCTGGTGAGGCCTCGAGCCAGCGGCGGCGGCCCTCAGACCCGGGCGACGCAACAGAATCGCGACGGCCGCCTGGGTGTCGGCCCCCGGCCCTGGAAACGTCAACAAAACGGCGCAACATGAACACATGTTTTTGCTGAATATCTCCCGGACGCATGGGATCAATCCGAATGGAGCACTGACGGGCAATTGGGAACGATGGGCAAATGCATGTTGGAGACATGCCCCGTCCAAACATTGAGTTGCGCATCGCTAGTGTCCTGTAGGATCGGCTTGAATCCGTCGCTGGAGAATTGGACGGCGCAACATGAAAACATAGCCCTGGGGCCTAGGATAGGCTGTGTGCCGCCGACCGATCGGCGATAGGCCACCGGCAGCGTATCCACATGGTCCTTGGCGGGATGGGGCTGTCGGGCGCCTGTGCGATCAGTGGGCGGTTGGGGGTCGGTGTGTTCCCCCCTGAGCCTGTCCCCCCCAGTGTGCTGCCCCTGAAGTAGGGGTCGAGATCCCCAGGGGCCGACGACTCGAAAAGACAGCAACACTGGAATGGAAGGCATCTTCGGGCCGCTCCTCGGATCTGGGTCGGGAGACCTGCTCGTGGCCGAGCCTAGCCGTGGCCAGAAACGCCTCCCCCTCCTCCTCCTCCTCCTCCTCCTCCTCCTCCTCCTCCTCCTCCTCCACCTCCTCCTCCACCCCCCCTCCTCCCCCTCTCCCTCCCCCCCCTCCTCATCAAATATGATCTAGCACAAGACGGCCAAACCTGGTTCGCCTTTGTCCCAGCACGCCTCCGAGAGGCTCCGAGTGGCCAGGGCTGGATCCTCGCTTTGAACGGACAGTCCCTCCTCCTCTCTACTGCTCTTTTTCGTAATCTTCCTCTTCTCTCCTCCCCTCACTGCCGATGCTGCTGCCGCTTCTGCTACGCTCCCTTCGGCATACCCTCACGCGGACAGTGCCGTATAAGAGGCCCACAACATGGTCTCAGCAGAGGGGCTCAAATGGCGCCGCCGAGCCCATCTCGGCGCACCCCTCACTCGGATCGTGCCCCATGCGGAAATCCATCAGTCCAGTGAAGGAGCTCGCATGGCGCCGCCGCGCCCATTTCGGCGTGCCCCTCATGCGGACCGACGCCCATAAAGAACTCCACCTATGGCTTGATGGGGTGGACACGAATGGCGCGCCGCGTCTCTTTCGGCACGCCCCTCAAGCGGATCGTGACCCCCATGGGAGCTCCAACTATGGCCCCAATGAAGGGGCTCGCACAGCGCCACCGCCCCTGTGTCGGCACATCCGTCAAGCGGACCATGCCGCAAAAGGGAGCTCCACTATGGCCCCAGTGCGAGAACTCGGATGGCGGAGCCGCGCCCTTTCTCGGAACGCCCCTCCAAGGATCGGGCCCCATATGGAGCTCGATGGCCAACTCGAACGGCGCCACTGCGCCCATTTCGGCCCCCCGTCCCCCCCCCTCACACTGGTCGTGGCCCATACGGAGCTCCACTTCTCTCAGCCGCCACCGTAACAGGGGAACTCCCGTACATGGACAATGTATTCGAACCCTTGCACATTTGAGGGAGATTCTAAATCACCCCCGCGAACCCGACATCAATGTTGATCTCAGGTAAAGGCGGTGCTTTGGGGATCGAGTATTCTTGTCCACTCACGCCCCCCCCGTCGCCGCGCCATCAATATTGATTTCGGGGGGTCTGGGGGGCATCTTGGGCCACAGGGTTCGAATATAATGCCCATGTACTGACGCACGGCACTCCCGCGCCCCGGCACGGCCCTCCCGCGGGCCGCGACGTGCCACGGGGAGAGCTCCCCCTGCGGCGCCAGCGGAGGAAAACTCGCACGGCGCCGCCGCGCCCGTCTGTGCGCAAGCCCTCACTGGCCAGCGCTCGGACGTCCAATCTCTGTGCTCGTTTCGGCTTCGTGCGTGTTTTTTTCTTTTTGCCAAATGATCAGGGATGCTCCTCGAGGGTCCTCGCCGAGAGAAAAAGGCACACGTCCGAGCGATGCCAGGCCTCGCGCAGATCGCACGCCGCAGAGAAAGCCCCACCTACGCCCCCCAGTGGGAAAAGCTCGCATGGCGGCGCCGCGTCCACGGCGGCACGACCCTCGCGCGGATCGGGCCCCCGCCGAGGGTTCCGCTCTGCGGCCCCGGTGGAGAGGTGCTCGCAGCGCGCCGCCGCGCCCATGCTGGCACACCCCTCGTGAGGATCGAGCCCCAGGATAGGGGCAAGGAAAGGCGACACCAACACACCAACAGGGCGATGAGATGCGAGGAGAAGGGGAGGTCTCCCTGGTGGTGTGGTCACCCCTCTCGCTCGAGACATCCCCAGCCTCCAGTTCGGGGAGGCATCATGGACCTCCTCGCTGGAGGTGGCCCCCCTGGTGGTGTTGGTGTCGCTTCTCCCCCCTCCGACAGGAGGGGTCCGGGGACCGATGTGAACGCATTTCGGCGGGGCGGGAGGGCAGCAGTCGTCTCAACTGGCCCTCCTCCAAGACGGGCCGGCGCACGCCTCCGACAGCCAGGCTGGGTCGCGCTGGCGCGCGGGCCGGAAGGCCGCTGCCGAGGCCCGCCATCTGAAGGACAGAGGCACCGCTGCGATGTGTTCGGGTGCCGTGGTGCCGAGGTCGACTGGAACGAGGTGCCAAGTCGACTGTGCCGAGGTGTCGGGCCAGAGTACGCTGCCAGGTCGACTGGGCCGAGGTGCCTCCAGTGGAGGAGGGGCGGGGAGGACGGCGTGAGGGAGAAGGACGACGGGGCTGCACACTTGCGCGTCCTCCTTGGAGGGCGAGCTCCATCGGCGCCGCCCGCAGGGTGCGAACAGCGAGTGTGAGCAGTCGAGCGGGGGCAATGGGCAGGTCCGCCAGAGTGCCCTGCGCACGTGACCCGCGCACGTGGAAGGGTGCCCCAAGGCAAGCGCAGCCGCGAGAGGCAGAAAAAACAACAAGATTTTCAAAAGGGCTCGAGAACGAATTGCCAAAGAGCGTTCCTCGTGTGTGCTACCAGATCAATCCTGACAAGTCACCCGAAATGTTTGAAAGTCCTGATGCATTGGATGCCTGCTGGCCCCCTCCGCCCACATCCCCCACGCCTGCGCGAAGATGAAGGCGGCGGTGACGATGGGTAGAGGCACAGCAAGCTGCACGCGCAGAACTTTGCGACCTTCGGCGGTCCTCGTGGATCTCTTGGACCGGCCCTGGACCCCTTCCCTGGCGCGCTCCGCGCGCCAGGGACGGCGCCGGAGGCGCCGCCAGGCCCAGGCGCCGATGCAAAATAGGGGGCAAACAAACCTACCTCGCTTTTGACCACCCTCGCTTCCAAGAGATACCAAGCGATGCCAAACTACGGCCTGTATTGGTCAGGCCGCTTGACGAGGAGGCGCGTGGTATGACTTGGTTTTGCCTGGAAGCGAAAGCGGGGTAGGTAATTCACGCTCTGATTTATCTTTCTGCAGCTTGCTTCTCCTCGGGCGGCGGCCGCGGCGGCGATGGCGCTGCCGGCGGCGGACACGGCGGCGGCGGCGGCGGCGGCGGCGGCGGGGCCCCGCCGCTCCTGCCGGGACCTCTCGGCCTCCTGGCGCCTGCTGAGCTGCGCCGACTCCCTGAGGGCGGAGTCGGGTGTAGAGTCGGGGCGTTGACCTAAGGAAGCCTAAATAAGGAACGAGGCCCCTTTTTCCCATAAATTAAACTTCGATTCCCCATGGAAAACCCAACGCAAACGGTAAAACAATCAAGGAACACCGAGCCCCTCGCCAACGAAAAGGGTTCCTTCTTCAGGGCCCCGACTGTAGCGCGCGGGTGCGCGAGTGCGCGGCGGCTCTGGCGGCGGCGGCGTCGCCGCCGCCGCCGTCGCCGCCGCCGCCGTCGCCGCCGCCGCGGACGCGGCGGGAGGTCGGGGAGGGAGGGAGGGAGGAGGGCGAGGAGCACGGGCGGAGGAGTGGGAGAGGGACGGGCAAGAAGGAGGGGGGGTGCGGAGGAGGGGAGGGGTCGCGAGGGAGGGAGGCGGAGAGACGTTGAAGCGTGCCGCCCGTTCCAGGCCTCCGCGGCGGCCCCCGGAGCTCTGTGGTGGGGCGCGTTCCGGCCAGGAGGCGCACGCAACCGTGGCGACAAGGGCCTTCCGATGATGATGCACACTAACCGCGGGCACACACAAACACACACACACAAACACAGAGACACTCCCTCCCTTCCTGCCCGCCCCCCTTGCCCCCCGAGCGACACTCCAAGGACCTCGCACGTCGCAACGCTTGAGCTGCGCCTGTCGCGGTGCTCGATTTCGTCGCCCCTGGCTGCTTTTGTCCACGGCCTGAGGGGCCGAGACGCCCCCCCTGATTCCCCCCACCGATAAGACAAGATACGATTAACAAAACAAGAGAATCCAAGCCAATCAAGACAGAAATGGGGAACAAAACAGGGTAGGAGTCCTAGTCTTCAAGGTCCGCCTCAAGCCGACCCTTGGTCCAGCTGGACCCCAGGGCGGCCAAGCTGGCAGTCGCTACGCTTCGTGGTGCCGTCGGGAAAACCTGCGCGGCGATATACTCTAAGAGCGAATGCTGAATCGCCAGACCCCCGCCGACAACCCTGGCCAGTTTCTCAGGCGCGTTTGGCCCTGGCCACGAGGGCGGCTGACCCCTCGAAGCTCCCAAAATAAAACGCCATCCTACCCCAAAGGCCCCCACTCCCCATCCTGCCCCACATTGCACCCTGCTGCCCCGACCCCCTCCCCTCCTCCAACAGCCGCCCAAAGTCTTCAAAGTACAAAGCGGTGACAAGCTAGAGAGTATTGGCTGACCCACATTGACGCAATTGTCCCCCGCCTCCACTTCTCGCCAATTTCCCGACCCAAGATCCATCCTAAATCGGTCAACGCTTCCCTCTAGGGTCCATCCGATAATCCTGGACAACTTTTTCAACTGGAGCGATTCCTGACGGCGCTTGGAGGCGACATCGAAGAAGATTTGCCAGCGTGGGCGCCAATCGCATTGCACTGCGGATGTGTAAGCTACGTGGTGCAGCATACAAGGTACAAACCATCTAGCACAACCTGTTAGGGCATTACGTATAGTGCTACCTACGTAACGGGATGCACGTGGTGCAACATGCTTCGTATAGATGCAAATGATGCGTTTAATGCTATCTGGTGCAAATTATGTGGTGTCACGGATGCCATGTAGGTGTAAGCTACACGGTGCAAGCTATGGAGCGCAAGCTGGTCTAAGCTATGCGGTGCGATGTATGCATGTGTGAGTGCTTGCAAGTGTAGAGATGTGTGAATGTGTACGTGCATTTATATGCACTACATGGTGCGAAGTGTTGTCCAAGATGCGGTGTGAGCTCTGTGGTGTAAGCTATGTGGTGCACACCATGTGATGCAAACTACGCGGGGAAAGCGCAGCCGTGTAGATAGTTATGCTTTGATGAGATCCACAGTTCATTAAGGACAGCCGCCTTCGCTGGAAGTGTTTGGCGAGTCTCGAGTTTGGCCACATAGCGTGCACAGCATAACTTATGCTGTGCACGCTGTGTGGCGCAAGCAACGTGGTGCAAGCTGTGCGGGGAGAGCCTGGCGAACTCTCGGCACACCCACCCAGCGCTCGCCCACGAGGCGCCAACGGGTGACCACCAGGCGAAACCTCGGCCGACCCTCCCAGCGCGCGGGGCACCAACTTGGCGGTGCGCACAAGGGGGGGTGGAGGGAGGGGGGAGGGCTTCTTGGAAGGAGGCCGCTCCTCACAGGCGCTGGCCCCGCATCTGTAGCAAAGGGCCGCGCCTTCGAAGAAACAGGGGTGCTCCTAAGAAGCCCTCCTCCCTTCCTCCGCCCCCTGAGCGCGACGCAGAAATACCCGAAAATCTCAGGATTCCCCACTCCAGCTCCCTTATTTATCGACCCCCGCTAAAACACTGGACCCCCCTCCAAATGCGATCTAACATTCCGGACCCCCTCTTCGACGGGGCGCCTTCATAAACCGCACCCCCCCAGCTCCAATCCAAAAAAAGCGCCCTGATGGACCGGACCCCCCCGGGCCACAAAAAAGGCGCCTTACAACACCGAACCCGGGGGACGATTGAGAAGGGACTTGGAATATCTTATATTGTCCTTTCGCTTCTGGGTTGTCGTCTGCCCCCCCACTTTCCATACAGTCAAAAACCCTAATAAGGACGCGCGGTGAGGACGCAAGACCCTTGGAAGCCGAAGTTGGGACTTTTGGGGCGGCGGACGACGAAAACCCCAAGGACGCAAGAGCAAGGAAGAGCAAGGACGCAAGGGTGCCCTGAGCAAAGTCGCGCGTCCTTTTTGGCAAAACAGGGCTAGGATCGGGATAAATCGCTCCAGAGCGTTCCGGAGCGCTCTCAGAGCGTTCCGGAACGCTCTGGAGCGGCCGCGGCGCCCAATACATCCTCCAAACCCGCCGATTCTCAGAGATTTCGAGTTATCCCGATCCGATTTTGTCCCGATCTTCGCGTCGTTTGTATTTTCCAGACCTTCGTGGAAATCGGCAGCGAGCTGTGTCTGCGCATGTGCTTCCCCCCTCCCGAGGGGGCCGCCCACGGGGCGCCCCCTCTTGCGGGCACTCTCGCGGCGGGGCCTCGGCCGACCCCCGCCCGGCTCCCTCCTCGGGGGGCGCAGTGCGGGCATGGACTACTCCAGATTTCGTAATAAAACGGAGGGGGTCACAACCCTCCCAGACCAGGAGTTTTAGACGCCCCCAGACCATCCATGAAAGGGCGGCACTTTGCCCAGACCCCCCCTAACCCTTCAAGACAGCTCAAATCAGACCCCCCCGCCAAATGTACCCCCCCTACTTTATTTTATAATCCGGAGCACCCACCAGAACACCCCAACCCGAAGACCCGAAGACCCGAATCTCGGGTGGGAGGGGGTAAGGGTTCCACCCGTGCTGTTTCGCTGTTTCCCGACCCCCCCCCACACTGGAAAGCGAGGGTCAATCTGAGCCTTCGGGCTGGGTGGGGGTGGCCTGGTGGGTGGTGATGCATGCACCTGTGCAGGCAGCGCCTGGGGAAGCACTCCTGCACGGCGTCTTCGATCCTCGGGTGCACGCTTCTGGCGCTCCAGCCTGCCTTGGCCCGGAGCACCAGGCAGAAGCTCGAGCGCCGACAAAGATACCGAAACTCAGAGGCCTTCGCGCGTCGGGCCCTGGGAGGCACTCGTCCGACACTGCTTCGGCACTCTCTCCGGGTGCTCGAGATTGTTTCTGGGATGTGGTCCTCAGGTACGATGGGAGCAACCGAAGTGGACGCCCCGACCCAAATCCAACCCGCATCATTGCCGAGACCCATCAGGGCAGGAGAGCTCAGAATCGAATCGATAAGTCGAATCGGCGATCGAAACTAATCGAATCGGCGGAAATCGGCAGCCAAGTCAGGAAAAGTCGAATCGGCAGAAGTCGGCAGGCTGGTATGCCTCCAATAAGCAATCGGAATCCAAATCGGAATCCGAAGTCGAATCGAATCGGAATCGGAAACAATCGAAATCGAATCGAATCGGAGGAGTCGGAACGAGCCTGGGGCTCCATCCAATCATCATGGCCCGCTTTTGATTTGCCCCCGGACCGATCTCCGACGGCCCGAAGCGAGCCCCCCTCCTTGGAGGCCGACACCGAAGAGAAACATGCGGCGCGACGAGTCTGGTCCGCGAACACCTCTCGGGCTCACGCGAGAGTGTTTACCTCCGCGCCGCCATCATCAGCGAGCGCGCGGTTGCCAAGGGCCGCACATCAACACCGAAACCGAAAAGCGCGGAATGGCCCTGCCGACTCCGCGGACGGACGTAGCCGAATCATGGGGCCCGAACCCCAGCCCTACCAGTACGAGCGAAGAAAAGGGCACCAAACGGAAGAACATTCGAGGCACCCTCCCCCTGGATGCACAACAACATATGACAAACACTAGGAATATTAGGGTACCCTCCTCAAGCCGACCTCGATCTGATGCCTCGGTCCGACTGTAACATGGACTACGGATCCGCGGAGCTGGCCCTTGGGCGCCAGATCCACGGATCGGAGAAAGGGCCCCGACGAATCTTGCAGCCAGGGTCGCGCGAAAGCAAGACCCGTCGCTAATCCACGCGCCTTCCCTCTCCGTCTGGGCAACGAGAACCGGGGGGACCATACATGGGGAGGCAACGACGGCTGCCGAAAAGCAGCCCTTCAGAGCGCGGCAAAGGGGCCCTGAAGGGCCCGAGAAGGGTACATTTCTCCCCTCCCATTTCTAGCCCCTTACATTGTCAGGAGGGACAAAACACACAGACACAAGTCATCGTCGATTTCGCAGCAAACATGGGAGAACACAGCAAACGGGGGGGGAAGACGAGAACCCAGAAGAAACACGAAAAGACGGGGAATCCTGGGATTTGTGTGCAATAACTAATTTGTGCCCCTGGGCCCCTTCACATGCATTTTGGCGCCCAATTCTTCGACGTGGCAGGTCTTCCGCGACGTCGGGCCCACGGGGTCTCGACCCTCTCCCCGGGGCCTGGCGTCTCGTCCCGAGCCGCTGGCGGGCGGCAAGGGGGTCGCCGTCACAGCGGCCCCCCGGGAGGACGAAGAAACGACGAGAGAAGCGGGCCGTCGCGTCTCTCCGGCCGCCAGATGGTCCATGATGATCCACCGCCTGGGGATGCGAAATCCTGGGGCCCCCAGCGGGCGGTGGATATACGGGATGTCGTTGTGGCCCCGGGGGGCCGACAGTGTAGCCACACCCACCGCCAGCCGAGAGGCCCCGAAGATCCCGTCCCTGCAGGCGGTGGGTGTGCAGCAAGCTTCGCCTCGGATCCTGGAGCCTCGGCCCTCGAGCGTGCGCTGCCCCCCCCCCGGCACCCCCCCGCCCGCCTCTGGGCCCGCAGCCGCTCCGTCTCGTCCTGCACCTGGCGGAGCTGCTGCCGCAGCATCTCGAGCTCGCGCGCCTGGTCGCCAGAGCGCTCCTGCCAGAGAGGGCAGGGGGGTGTCCTGGAGCAGCCGGGGGCATGTCGACGCCTGTCCCCGACTCCGTGGGGTTGTCGTGCGGGCCAGAAACTCGAAGCCAGACTCGGGGATATACGACGTGGGGGCATCCATCCTCGATGGGGCGGTCGAATTCGCCCCCTGAAGGTGTATCCCCGAGCTTCCCCTCTTTTCTGAGCGGCCTGTTGTTTCGGGGAGAACAAGGGCATTGGGGGCGGCAAGCAGCATGCGGCAGCAGCATGCGATGGAGAGTCCTGCGCGCCACAATCTACAATCTACCTGCGGGAGAAGAGAGGATGGGGAGGTCCTCCTCCTCCTTCTCCTCCTCATCCTCGAACCTCCTCCTCCTGCTCCTCCTCCTCCTCCCTCTCCTACCTCTGGAACGGGTGGTGGAAAAGCAGTCCGTCCCTCCACTCCGCAGTGGATTGGGCCTGCCGCCACATCACCCCCTTCGTGTTCCCTGGCGGACGGCACGGGATCAGCAAGGCCAACCCAGGAGGACCCGGGGGAAGCACTGGCCATCGCTTGGACGTCAATTCCCTGTGCTTTTGTCGGCGTCGTGCGCGGTTTTTTTTTGCCAGCTGGTCAAGGGTGCTCCTCGATGGTGTTCGCCGAAGGAAACATGCACACGTCCGAGCGATGCCAAGAGCAGAAAGGGGATGGGGGGGAAAGGCAGGCCGGGTGCGCCCGCGCCACATCCGGCAGCCTACTCCTCGCCCCACCCCTCCCTTCCCGTTGCGCTGTGGCTGTGGCTTCTCTGTCCGCCGACGTGCGTCACAGCGGAGCAGGAGCGCCAACAGGAAGAACCCGTCGGCCAGACGAGCAGCAGGGAGAGCAGGAGGGAAATGAGGAGGAGGAGCGAGGAGTAGGTCAAGGACGAACAGCAGCGGCAGATGCCGGAGTGGAAGGAGCGGGAAGGGCGAGAGAACCAGGGGTGCGTTCTGACCAGAATTTCGAGGCGAATCCAGCGGTGGCGACGAGGGCTTCCCAGGAGGCTCCAAAGAGGAGAAAAGGAGGCATTGCTGGCGGTACTGGTACCTCTCGACGCCCACCTCCCAGGCTTGAGCATGGACCGACTGCCCTCTCATTCGTATAGGCCCACCAGGCCATGTTCTTTGGACCGCCAAAAAGCCCTGAGAACAAAAACAATATTCTTAGCACCTAAACCCGATGGATTGAAACAAGACCGTCCCAGCCACGTGATCGTTTTCTTCTTCATTATTTTGCCGATCGGCACGGGCCCTCGCACCCCCCCCCTGGAGTAGATCTTCGCTGTGTTTGTCGCCTGTTTCGAGCAGATGGAGTCTCCCCCTATGGGACGTACTGTTGCAAACAGACGCACTAAGCAGAGGTCTGGAGCCAGACCCCCCCCCTCCCTCCCCCTTCCGCCCAATGTCGAAACGCCGAATGAGAAAACGCTCACCAGAAATACTATGGGAAATTTTCGCGCAGACCACAACAAGCTCTTAGAACGTCCCTTGGTGGGCCTATAGGCAAGCCGGGACGCCTCGCCACTGCCTGACTTGGCGGCGAGCGATGGGGGGAAATTGGAAAGGAGAAGGCCTTCTCAGAAGGCGGTGGGACTTCTCAGAAGCCCTCGCGCCTTCCAAGAAGTGTTTTCTGTGTCTTAAGGGGACAGCTTGGAAAAACTTCTGAGAAGGCCTGGGGACTTCCGAGCTGAGAAGGCCTTCTCCTTCCTATTTCCGCCCCTCGCTGCACGGCTTCCTTCCCCCCGGGCCGTAGGCGACCCGAGAAGGAGGAGGAGGAGGACGAGGACGAGGAGGTGGAGAAGGAGGGGGAAGGGGAGGAGGAGATGCAAGAGGAGGAGGAGGAGGAGGATGAGGAGGAGAAGGAGAAGAAGGAGGGAGGACGAGGGAGGACGAGGACGAGGAGGAGGAGGAGGGGGAGGAGGAGGAGAAGGACGGGTCGCCTGAGCCCTTCGGAGAAACCCTCCACCCCTCGCTCGCCGCCGACAGGCAGGCCGGGCGCTCCGAGGCGCAGGTCAGCTCGTCCGCGGCCTGCGCCGCGCGCTCGGCCTTCTCCCTCTGCGCCTCTCGCGGCGCGGGGGCCGCTCGAGGTGGCGGCGCGCGGCCGCCCGCGGCCGCTCGCGGCCCGCGGCCGCGGCCCCTCGCGGGGCGCCCCCCACCCCACCGAGCGAACGAACGAAACCGCGCCCTGACGGCGCATTGGCACACATATCTGGAAAATGCTGACCACATGCGTGCCGGCGTGCAGAGAAGAAAACTACTCCCACGAGTTGCTACCTAAGCAGCCGGACCCTCCAAGAACATGCGACCCTCCGCCGGCCAACACGCAGAGCGCAGTCGAGGGTGCCCCCGCCCCCAGGGTGCACGAGAACAGCCAACAAAAACACCCTTCCGTTGGCGGCGGGGCAGAGGCAAACTGCACCTGCGGTCAAGCGATTCGGGGCTGCCGAAAAGCGGAGTGTCGAGCATGCAAGAGGAGAGTAGGGAAACGAAAAATGGCATACGCATAAAAACTCGGAGGTCCGCGCGGATTTCTCGCATCGGCGCTGGACACCTCTCCCTGGCGCGCGGCGCGTGCCAGGGGCGGCGCCAGAGGCGTCGCTAGGGGGGTCCAGCGCCGATCCGAGAAGTCCGCCGCGACCTCCGAGTTGCTATGTTTATGCCAGTTTTCGTTCTCCTAGCGAGACTGAGACAGACAGAGCCGCTGGCAGAAGCGTCGAGCCATAGTCTGAGGACGATTTGTTTCATCGACTATCCTTGGATTATTGTTCGAACTACTCCAAATCCCCCACTAATCGACCCCCCCTCAAAAACCGGACCCCCCTCCAAATGCGACCTAATATTCCGAGCCCCCCTCTTCGACGAGGGGACACTCAGAGGCTGAGGACTTCCATCCCCAGCGCGCTGGCGCGGCCAGCACCGGCAGCGGGGACCGTGGCGGCGGCCGGGCCGCGGCGATCCAGCACACGCGAGGAATACGAGAGGGCGCCCTCCCCGGCACCGACCTCGACCTCACGCCTCGGCCCGACACGGCGCCCTCGGCCCCGGACCCCTCGAGCTGCCCACCAGCCGCTGCGCGGCCTCCGGCGGCCTCGTGGGCGGCCCGCTCTCCTCCTCGTCGGCCTCGGCCTCCCCCGACCCCCGACGTCATGCTCTTCTCACGGCGTCGACCCCCAGAGGCTTCGACCCCTTCCCTGGGACCAGCTCTTCTTCCCGGGTCGTTCTTTTTTGTTGGCGGTCCAGAGGCCCGGCCAGGGCCCCCGGAGGCCGAGAATGGTGAACAACATCCCGTCGTGAATTTTTCACTACACCCTGCGAAATGCTTAAGAAATCATGGGTTAAGAAATTCATAGCCTCAGAAGTTGAATAAAAACCCTGAATTCCCATGAAAATCTTAGGATGCACATTGACACATCAAGAATCATCGAGACTCTGGCCGAAAACGTAAATTTTCTTAGACATCGCCTAGGGTGTACTCGAGGGGGTCTGGGTCTGGGGACCGCCTCCTGGCCCCCCGGCTTCACCGCCCCCCGGCCCCAGGGAGGGGGCCGACCACCTCGCCGGGGGCCGACGGCGCGCGGAAGACCCCCGGGCGGCATCGGAGGAGAGGGGGTGGCCCTGCACCGACCCTGGCAAAGCCTAGGTCGGGCACGTCCTCCTGCAGAGGATGTTGGGAGAGCAGTCCCAAAACAGTCGCAAGAAGCTCTAAAAAGTCACAAAGCCTAGAATAGTTCGAAGGATGATCTAGGAAGAGTCGAAGCACAGTCGTCCCCAGACTATGTTCTGACTACTCCAAATCCCTCGTTAATCGTCCCCCGGGTCCGGTTTTTCGAGGCGCCTTTTTTGTAACTGGGGGGTCCGGTTTATTAGGGCGCTTCCTTTGGATTGGAGCTTAGGGGATCCGGTTTATTAAGGCGCCTCGTCGAAGAGGGGGGTTCGGAATAGAAGGTCGCATTTGGAGGGGGGTCCGGTTTATCAGGGGGGGTCGACTCATCGGGGATTTGGAGGAGTTCGAAACATCATCCAAGATAGTCGATGAAAAATCGTCCCCAGATGAAGGCTCGACGTTTCTGGAGTGCTCCTCCTGTGGAGGGGCCCGCCCGACTTGAGGCAAGGCCCGCCCCGGGGCCCAGAGGTCGGCGTTCTCAGGCCCCCCCGACGCCATGCTTCATCCACGGCGTCGACCCCTCGAGGCTGCTTCTGCTGCTGCTGCTGCTGCTGCTGCTGCTGCTGCTGCTGCTGCTGCTGCTGCTGCTGCTGCTCTCCTCCTCCTCATTCTCCTCCTCCTGCCTACTCGCCCTGCCTCCTCCCTCCTCCTCTCCCCCTCCTCCTCCCTCAGCCCCCCCCCCCTACCCCTCCTCCTCCTCCTCCTCCTCCTCCTCCTCCTCCTCCTCCTCCTCCTTCTTCTCCCTCCTCCTCCGCCTCCTCCTCCTCCTCCTCGTTATCCTCTGATCCTCCTCCTCACTCCTCCTCCCCTCTTCCTCCTCCTCCTCCTCCTCCTTTCTCCTCCTCCTCCTCCTCCTCCTCCTCCTCGTTCCCCTCCTCCCCCCCCTCCTCCTCCTCCTCCTCCTCCTCCTCCTCCTCCTCCTCCTCCTCCTCTGCTGCGAGGCGTTGATTTATCCATAACCACCGCCTGGGGGATCGATCTTCGGGGACCTCGGTAGGCAGTGGCTATGTGGATGCATTTGGTCCCCCCAGACCCCGAACACAGTGGAGGTCAGTGCACAAAAGAACCTTCCCCACAAGAGACCCAACCCTGAGACCCCAGGACGCCCATCGATTTCTGGTGTGGGAGCGTCACGCTTTTCACAGCAAAATCATCAAAGCCCCAACAAAAGCCCAGGGCACCCTGGAGGCAAGCAGGGGGGTTTCTCGGCATGGGCCCCTACTCTACAGTGCGGGCGCGGCCGCAAGATACCCTCGCAAGAAACCCAACCCTGAGAACCCGTGCGCGAGGTGCACCTGAGGGGAAACCAGGAGCACCCTGAACGCAGCAGCTCCTTCAACGGCTGCGGGAAGTCACCGCGCAGCGCGAGGAGCGAAGAAACCCAAGCTACCCCGACGACAACCACATTGTTCTTTGATGCGCGCCCCCACTGTAATCCACCGGGGCCGGTTTCTCATCCCGAGTCGTTCTCTGACGGTCCCGAGGCCCGGCAAGTGCCCCCCAGGAACCGAGCATGGCGAAGAACCTCCCGTCGCGATCCTTCCGTTCCTGGACGGGGCCCGGAGGTGTACGCCCTCCTGCCCATGCCGGGGGGGGGGGCGCACGCGCCGAGCCTTGGCCAAGCATGGGCCGAGGCTCGGCATCGGCGCGGGTCCGGCCAAGCCCCTGCAAGCGGGGCGTTAGCAGATGGGGCGGCAGCTGAGGGGTCTCTTCGAGCGAGAACGGGGCGACAGGGCATTTGCCTCGCACCAGTGCGTGAGAAATCGGGACGACAAAAACGTCGAACCATCGTCATGACTCTGGGCGGGGGATGTACCTCGCACTTGTGCGCAGCCTTGGCTACCAGCCCGATTGCTAACGCCCCGTTTGTAGGGGTTTGCTCCGTGTGGGCGACCTCCGACCCCTGGCGTTAGGTCGGGCATGTCCCCCTAGAGGCGGATTATAGAGTAATAATAACACTTGACCTGAAAAACTCAAAAATCATAAAAATGTCATCAAAAAGTCGTCCCCAGAGTATTTTTGACTATTTTTGAATATTCCTCCTGTGGAAGGACACGCCCGATTTAACCCTGGGACGCTGGCGGGCTGGCGGCAAGACCGCCTCCGGCGGGGCCTCGGCGGCGCCACGGAAGGCACAGCAGCAGAAGACGGCAGACAAACACAACAAAACGCAAGCAACGTCAGCAAATAAAAACACACGCGAGCGAACACATAACACACAAGCACACACCGTCAAGAAACAGCACAACAAAGCTAGCCAGTCGAAAACGCCAACCAGACGCAGTTGCGAGTGACGCAAATGTGCGCATCGCATTCGGTGGAGCTCCCCATGGGGCCCCGAAGTGTTCAGTGGCAACTCATGGGAGCCTCCTGTACCATCTTGTCCACTCTTGCGAATCGGAGCTAATCGTCGCTAAATCGACGCCAATCGGCGCCAGATCGACGCTAATCGACGCTAGCCGACATCGGCGCAATCTCATCGACTACCAGACGCTCATCGACGCTCCCCATGCGGCCCCGAAACGTGTGAGGATGTGCCAAAATTGGTGCGGCGGCCGCACTTGAGCCGGGACCGACCGTCCCGGCATTCCTATAGTCCTACCACGAAATGTTCTTAGAACCCAACAATGTTCCAATAACAAAAACAATGTTCTTAGAACATAAGCCCGATGTGTTAAAACAAAACAATATCAACCAGAAGTGTTCTAAGAACATTTCGTGGAAACCACAGAAGGTTCTTAGAACATTGCTTGGTAGGGCTGTAGGCGAGCCAGGACGCTTCGCCACTGCTTGACGCACGGTGCCATGTGAGCCCTCGGCGGAGCTCCCCATGGGGCGGGGCTGCGGCCAACGGGCCTGGCCCGCGGGGCCGTGGAGACGGACGTGTGCTCCGCCCACGAGTGCTCTGGGACCCGAGCGAGCGAGGCAGCCACTCGAGGCCTCCTAGATGGGGTCCGAGTAGATGGGGTCGTAAGATCGCGCAGCATCGCCGATACATCGAGGATGTATCGGCGATGCATCAGCGATGCACCAGCGATGCCTCGGCGACGTCGGCGACGCATCGGCGACATTGGCGTGGAGTACATCGGGCTCCGCATCGAGCCGCATCGCCGATGCATCGGCGATGCGGCGCGAATTTCCGACCCCATTATGATCTGACCCCATCTGGAGGCCTAGGCCTAGATCTGGGAGTCTTCGACGCTATTCAAGCACATGGCTTCGGCGAGGAGCCAAACGTTAGGATGCGAGGAAGAGCGAGAGAGAGAGAGAGAAGGAGCAAGAGCGAGCGAGCGAGGGCGTGCAAGAGATTGAGGAGGAGGAGGATGAGGAAGGGGAGGAGGAGGGGGAGGAGGCGGAGGAGGAGGGGGAAGAGGCGGAGGCGGAGGAGGAGGAGGCCTAGGCCTAGGCCTGGGCCCCAAGCGAGCGAGGCAGCCACGGCGCCGAAAGGGCGTTTTCTCAATGCCCCCCGGGGCCCTCGAAGACGGCTCCCTGGCAGCGAGCGAGGCGGCCGCAGGGAGCCGGGACGCGGAGGTGCTCCCCCCTGGAGGATGGGGGGGGGGAAGGCGCCGGGGCCCGCTGGGCTGAGGAGGAGGAGGAGGAGGAGGAGAAGGAGGAGGGAGGATGAGGAGGAGGGGAAGGAGGGGGAGGAGGGGGAGGGGGAAGAGGAGGAGGAGGAGGAGGAGGCAGGAGGAGGAGGAGGAAGGAGGAGTGAGGAGGAGCAGGAGGGGGAGGAGGAGGGGAGGAGGAGCAAAAAGCACACGCCAGCGGGTCTGAGGTGAAGAGAGAACGACCGAGCAGCATGCAGCAGGACGGGTCCGCACGGACGTCTCGGGCCCGGCGCCGTGCCCCCCAGGCGCCAGAGGCGCCGCAGAGGAGGGCATCCAGTGCAGGTCTGGGGCATCCGCGCGGACCTCAAGAAGCCTATGCCTACGCCATCTGTCATGCGTGAGCATCGAGTAGTTGATATCCATACACAGACCATCAATCCTCGATCCTTGATATTTGGTCCTTCTCCTCCTCCTCCTCCTCCTCCTCCCCTCCTCCTCCTCCTCATCCACATCCTGCACCTAATCCTCCTCTTCCTCATCTTCCTCCTCCTCCTCCTCCTCCTCCTCCTCCTCCTCCTCCTCTTCCTCGTCCCCGTCCCCATCTTCCTTCCCCGCGCCGGCCGTGGGCGGCGGGGGCCTGCATGGTGTGCAGGTGCTGAGCCGTGCACATGTGCAGGTGCTGCTGCTGGGATCTCCCCGCGGTCCCAGGTCGGGGGGGTGGAGGAGGAGGAGGAGGAGGAGGAGGAGGAGGAGGAGGAGGAGGAGGAGGAGGAGGAGGAGGGGGAGGAGGAGAGGAGGAGGGGAGGAGGAGGAGGAGGAGGAGGAGGAGAGGAGGAGGAGAAGGGGAGGAGGAGGAGGAGGAGGGGGGAGGGGAGGAGAGAGGAAAGGAGAGAGGAGGAGGAGGGAGGAGGAGGAGGAGGAGGGGAGGAGGAGAGGAGGAGGGGAGGAGGAGGAGAAGGAGGAGGAGGAGGGGGCGGCTAGGGCCTGCGTGGTGTGCAGGTGCTGAGCCGTGCACATGTGCAGGTGCTGCTGCTGGGATCTCCCTGCGGTCACACATCGGGGGAGGGGGCCCCGATTGCGATCAACGCGCGTCTGAAGGTTTCGTCGCCACGGCAGGAAGCTGCTCAGGCAGCTAGCCAGAATAGAACCCTCCCTGGGGTCGGTCCAGGGGCCCGCTTTCGGTGGACACTGAGCCAAACCACCGACATTCGCGCACCGCGTCACGCGATGCGCGACGCACGGCTGTTACCTTCGTGCCCTCGCGAGGCACCTCTCAGCGCCTCAGACAGTGGCAAGTCTCTGGACACGCAATTGCATTGGACGGGCGGGAGGGTTCATCATGGCAATATGGCGCGAATGAGCGGACCTTCCTTCTCTCCTCTCTCCGTTTCCCCTCGCCGCCCTCCCTCCTCCTCTCCGCCTCCCCCTCCTCCCCCCTCCTCCTCGCCCTTCCTCCTCTACGCCCCCCTCCTCTTCGCCCTCCCTCGTCCCCTTCCTCTCCACTCTCCTCCTCCTCCTCCGTCCTCCTCCCTCCTCCGCTCCTACTCCTCCTCCTCCTCCTCCTCCTCCTCCTCCTCCTCCTCCTCATCCTCCTGGTCCCTTCTCCCCTCTCCTCCTCCCCCTCTTCCATCCAAATCCGCCATCCCCTCCCCATCCTATACGTATTATCAACATGTATGCTGGAGCGAGGCGCTCATTTTCACGTCCCGTTCGCGGGGCGGTGGCACTGGGGCCTTCGGTGAAGCTCCCTATGGGGCCACGAAACGTGTGAGGGGTGTGCCAAATTGGGTGTGGGGGACGCATGCGGGCGGTGGCACTGGGGCCTTCGGTGGAGCTCCCTATGGGGCCACGAAACGTGTGAGGGGTGTGCCAAATTGGGTGTGGGGGGCGCATGCGGGCGGTGGCACTGGGGCCGTGTTCGTGGTGTGCCAAATTGGGTGTGGGGGACGCATGCGGGCGGTGGCACTGGGGCCTTCGGTGGAGCTCCCTATGGGGCCACGAAGCGTGTGAGGGGTGTGCCAAATTGGGTGTGGGGGACGCATGCAGGCGGTGGCACTGGGGCCTTCGGTGGAGCTCCCTATGGGGCCACGAAACGTGTGAGGGGTGTGCCAAATTGAGTGTGGGGGGCGCATGCGGGCGGTGGCACTGGGGCATTCGGTGGAGCTCCCTATGGGGCCACGAAACGTGTGAGGTGTGTGCCAAATTGGGTGTGGGGGACGCATGCGGGCGGTGGCACTGGGGCCTTCGGTGGAGCTCCCCATGGGGCCACGAAACGTGTGAGGGGTGTGCTGAAATGGGTGTGGGGGGGACGCATGCGGGCGGTGGAGAGGAGGAGGGGGAAGAGGAGGAGAAGAGGAACGGGGGGACCGTCTCTTCAAAACGAGGACCCAACACCACAGGATGGTTGGGAACAAGTGTCGCACGGATTTCACATCAAGTGTCCAGAAACTGCGTTTGTTTATACCACAAGTGGTTATGAGTTGCTCTGTTTGTCCAAAATAGCCTGGCTAAGGACCCAACCATATGCACTTGTGAGCACCGCTTTTGTACGCACCGCATCCAGAGGAATTCCCTATTAAGCCAACAAGCGTGCGAGGGGTGTGCCAAATTTGCGCGGTGGGCGCATGCAGAAACAACCATTGGAGCCGTCGGTGGATTTCCCTTTGGGGCCACGAAACGCGTGAGGTCCGTGTGCCGAAATAGGAGCGGTGGGCGCATGCGAACGTAGCCACTCGAGCCTTCGGTGGAGCCCCCCATGAGGCCGCGAAGCGTGTGAAGGGTGTGCTAAAATCGGCGCGATGGGCGCATGCGAACGCAGCCACCGGGGGCTTCAGAGGAGGTTCCTCATGGGGCCACGGAGCGTGTCAAGGGTGAGCGACAAACATGTGCGGTGGGCGCATGCGAACGCAGCCACCCGGGCCTTCGGTGGACAACCCTGCGGAGGCACGAAACGTGTGAGGGGTGTGCCAAAATGGGCGTGGTGGGCGCATGCAAACGCAGCCACGGGGGCCTTCAATGGAATTGCCTATGGGGACGCGAAACGTGCTAAGCGGGTGCCAAAATTGGTGCGGTGGGCGCGTGCGAAAGCAGCCACTGGGGGCGTTAGTGAAGCTCACTGTGGGGCCACGAAACGTATGAGGGGTGTGCCGAAACGGGGGCGGCGGGCGCATGCGAACGCACCCACTCGGGCCGACGGTGGAGCTCCCTATGAGGCCACGAAGCGTGTGAGGGGTGCCAAACTGGGTGCGGTGGGCGCTCGCGAACGCAGCCAATGGCGCCTTCGGTGGGGTTCCCTATCCGGCCACGAAGCGTGTGGGGGGTGTGCCAGAATGACTGCGGTGGGCGGAAGCGAACGCAACCACTGGGGCCGTCGGTGGACCTCCCTATGAGCAACGAAACGTGTGCGGCGCGTGCCAAAAATGGACCCCGCGGGCGCATGCAAACGCAGCTACTCGGGCCGTCGGTGTAGGCCACGATCGGGCCACGAAACGTGTGAGGGGTGTGCCGAAACGAGAGCGGTGGGCGCATGCGAACGCAGCCATTGGGGCCGTCGGTGGAGCTCCCTATTGGGCCACGAAATGTGTGAGGGTGTAATTACCACAATGGGTGCGATGGGCGCACGCGAACGCAGCCATTTGGGCCGTCGGTGGAGCTCCATATGAAACCACGAAGCGTGTGAGGGGTGTTCCAAAACGGGTGCGGAGAGCGCATGCGAACGCAACTAATGGGGCCGTCGGTGGACCTTCCTATAGGGCCACGGACCGTGCCAAGGGCGTGCCGAAATGGGAGCGGTAGGCGCATGCGAACGCAGCAACTAGGGGCGTCAGTGGAGCTGCCCATGGGGGCACGACACGGATGAAAACTGTACCGAAATTGGCGCTGTGGGCGCATGCGAACGCAGCCACTCGGGCCTACGGTAGACCTCCCTGTGTGGGCACGAAACGTGTGAAAGGTGTGCCGAAGCTGATGGTGATGATGCTGATGATGACGGCGATGGTGATGAATATGGCGGTGATGATGGCGGCCACCATGATGGTGGCGATGATGATGACGATGATGCTGATGACGTTGATGATAACGTCGATGATGATGCGGATAGTGGTGGTGGGAAAAGAGGGGGACGAAGAGGAAGGAGAGGAAAGCGGGGCGCTGTCTCTTCAAAACAAGGACCCAACATCACAGGATGGTTGGAACAACATATTTTTCCGAAAACAGAAAACGCTCGCGGTCTGGCAAGCTCGCTTAAAAAACAAGAAACTTTTGGTGGCTTGACAGCCCCATCAGATCAATCAAGCGGCTCTTTCGCGCGCGCCGGCGACGAAATCATTCGAACGCCTTTGCGCGCGCGCTGGGAAAGGGACGGGCCCTGTGAAATTCGCCGGCCCAACGGGCCAGAGGCGTGCTAAGATCTCCGGTAACTGGTTAACAATATTTCTACTTCGCGCGCGCGGGGCTGCCCCTAGGCGTCCCCCCGACGATCAGTACCCCGGGACGGTCCCGGGACGTTCGGGCAAGAGATGGTTTTCCGTCTGGGCGCCGCCCTCGAGGCCCTACAGAGAGCGCCAAGAAGGGCCGCGAGGCCGCCAAGAGCCCCCCAAGATGGTGCAATAGTGCTCCGAGATGCCACACGCTAGCTTCAAGACGCCCAAGATGACTTCCAGACGCCCCAACAGGCCCACAAGAGGCGTCCCAAGAGGGCCCCAAGAAGCAAAAATCGTCCCATTCCTTAAGCAAACTGTGCATTCTTAACATATTCGCCACTTGAGCTTTCGTAACGTCAAAAGCGGCCCAAGAGGCCCCCAAGATCGCCCCAAGACGGCCCACGAGGCCCCCAAGAGGGCCCAAAAACCGCCCCCGAGAGCCCCAAGACGACCCAAGAGGCCTCCAAGACAGCCCAAGAGGCCCCCAAGACGGCTGCAAGAGGGGGTCCAGACGGGAGACCCGCACGGATATTTCGAGCCCTCGGCCCCGAGAGGCCCCCAGGAGCGCCCAAGAGGCCCCCGAAAGGCTCCCAAGAGGCCCTAGGAGGCCCCCAAGAGGCCCTACGATGCCCCCACGAGGCCCTCAGGAGGTCCCCAAGATGCCCCCAAGCGGCCCCAGGAGGCCCCCCGAATGCCCCCCCAAGCACGCAAGCAAGTGCCAGCGATGCTACAATATGGGCCGGCGGAATGAGCGAAGCGATTGAATAGCAGAGTGCGAGCCATTCGCGCCCGTCGGCCGCGCGCGCATATCCAAATCTTCCCATTTTTTTTCTGATCGCCGACGTGTAAACGTCATGGGCGTGATCAATATCGGCAGCGTCATTGGCCTGCCGTCGTCATCGTCGACGCCATCGTCGTGACCAGCACCGCTAATATCATCATCGCCTCTGTCGCCACGCTGCCGCGCCCGCCCGAATCACTGACTCGCACTGAAAGGCCCGCGCGTCAGCGCAAAGACGCGCTGGGAAGTCGCCACCGGTCAGCGCCACTGCGGCCAGGTCGGTCGCGCCAAACTAGCTGGCCGCTCTGTGCGCTCGCCTGCGCGCGTTAGCGCGGCAACAGCAACGCGCCAGCCAGCGCCGAGCAGTCATCGTAATCGCCGCCACGTGGGTTTTGCAAACCAAATTGCGGGTGAGCGGGTGTGACGATTGCGCGAGCACTGGAGATGACAACTCCAAGTTCGGCAGCGCGACTTGCACCACATAAATTGCACCTCGTAGGTTGCACACTCAGATTGTGCCACATTGATGCGCCACACAGATTGCACAACGTCGGTTGCACCACATATATTACGCACCACACATATTGCACCAACACAATGCTCAACATGAATTGCACAAACGATGTCTCTTGTATAATAATCAGAAACTACTGCCCCCCTCCCTCGGATTATCGGTTCTTCCCTGGAGATGTACAATTTACTGACGATGACGCCCAAACTTGCATTATAAACATGAATTCTTACTATCCCAGCCAGGCCGGCATCGCCCCCACACCCACCCCCTCGTCCTCGTCCTATGCGCGAACGCTCGTTTAACAAACAGAGTCACCTTGCAAGACTCCCGTGCAAAAATGAGACGAAATGCACACGCACGCGCACGGTCGCGCACCATCCGAAACCCTGCTCAAAAAACGCAGGTCCCATCGGGAACTCAAACACGAGTGCCCCGAACACACAGTAAAACACATGCTTCAGCAACGTAGAGGTCCAACAGCAAGTAGTCTACGGGCGCGCTCAAGCAAGTACCGGAGACAAAAACTATAGCTCTTCAACATGCTCATCGCATGCGACCGAACGGGCCTCTCGCGCCTCTCCTCCTCCCCCTCCCCCTCCTCCTCCTCCTCCTCCTCCTCCTCCTCCTCCTCCTTCTCTTTCCCTCCCTCCTTCCCTCCGTCCATCCATCCATCCCTCCCACCACCTCCTCCTCCTCCTCCTCCACCTCCTCCTCCTCCTCCTCCTCCTCCTCTCTGCTCCTCCTCCTCCTTCCTGCCCCTCCCATCTATCCACCATTTTTCGTCCTCCATCCTCCTCCTCCATTGTCCTCCCGCCCCACCCCTTCCATCAGTCCCTCTCCTCCCCCTCGTCCTCATCTTCCACCTCCTCCTCCTCCTCCTCCTCCTCCTCCTCCTCCTCCTCCTCCTCCTCCTCCTCCTCCTCCTCCTCCCTCCCCCGCGTCGTCTCCCTCCTTCCCTCCTCCTCCCCTTGTTCCCTCCGCCCTCCTCGCACCACCCCTGCACCCCGCCGCCGCCCCCCCCCCCTGCCGCATCCCGAACCCCCCGCCCGTCCGCCCGCCGCCGCGCACAGAGGAAAGGTTGGGTCGGGCGTCCCCCTACCGGCGGAGCCTGCACGGAGAAACAAAACATACCACCCCCAAACGGATTCAAAGACATGCCAAAAAAGACTCGAGGAATCGTCCCCAAACCATCTTTCTGCCCCTGCTCGCACTGCTCCTCCCGTGGAGGCACAGGCCCGACTTACTAACAGAGGCCAGGGGCGAAGCGCAGGCCCGCCCCTCCGGAGCAGCGGGCCCCAGTGGGCCAGCCTCTCCCTCCTCGGCGCGTCCGCCGTCCACAGCGCCTGGCCCGAGGGCCCCAGGTCCTCGGGCGGGGGGCGGCGGGCGGGGCGCTGCCCCCCCGCCGAGCTCCCACGGGCGCGCCGGCGCCCGGCGGGGGGCGCCCCCCACCCCCGACTGGCCAGGCCGCCCGTCAGCACCGGAGGATGAGACGAGGATGAGACGGAAGGGGCCCAGGGACACACACACACACACACACACACACACACGCACACACACGCGCACACACACACACACACAGAAACAGACAGAAACTGACAGAAATCGCCCAAGCCCCCATCGTTGCCCACATGCTCTGGGCTTTCGCCTGCCCGCCCAGTTCCTCTATTTCCCCACACGTCCTGGGGATCGACGATCGATTGTGCCTCCATGCTTCTTCCCCTCCTGAGAAGCAAGAGAGGCTCCGTGGAACCACCTTGAGATCCTGGCGCGTCACACTGTTTCACATGTGGCGTTTGCGCCCAAACTCGGGCCCAGGGCCCTCGCAGATCGAGCTGGCTCGAGAGATGCCGCAGAAAGATTGGGCGTAGTACTCCGGCCATGATTTCCCACGATGTCGCATATGTTTCGCAACGTCGGATCTCAAAGCAGGTCTCCTCGGCGCCACGAAGAGCAGCACGGCGGCTGGCTGAATTGCACATTTTGTTGAATAGTCACACTGTTGATCGATGTATTTTGGAAACCCGATCTGGCCTCGACACCAGCTGAATTTTCATTTTTTCCTTAAAACAAAGCGCCCGCTCGAGCGCAGGCTCCACTCCACAAGTGAATTGTTCAAAGCCCCGCCACAACGACAACGGCTCCCGCTCAATTGTGCCTCGTTATTTGCTCCTGGGCGCCCTGGCCAGAGAGGCCCGCAAACTCAGGAACGGAGCTCTCGCTCGTGGATGCTGGCCCAGCTACGACGACAATGGCCCCCAGGCTACAACTCCCTCGCAATTTACTCGAAACGCCCAGTCCAAAGAGGCCTTCGAATTCAGGAACGGCGCTTTGACTCGAGACTTCCACGCAATCCACTCCGGTCGGTGAAGACCCAACTGCGAAGACAACGGTTCCCGCTCGATACTCCCTTGAAATATACTCCGACACGCCCTGACCTGAGGGGCCCTCGAACGCAGGGACAACGTTTTTTGTCGAGACGTTTTCGCGATCTACTCAAGCTGGTGAAAGCCTGGCCACGACAACAACGGCTCCCGCTCGATAGTTCCTCGCAAGTTGCTCGGGTGCGCCCTTGCCACACGCATTATCGCAGTCAGGAACGCAGCTCTCGGCCAAGACGCCCTCGCAATTCACTGCTGTGAAAGCCCAGCCACGACGACAACAATGGCTCCCGCTCGACGCGTCGTCGCAATGTACTCGCGTGCGCCATGGTCATACGCGATATCGCACTTAGGAAAGGCGTCCTCGCAATTCACTATACTCTGCCAGAATCAAGCGAAGACGACAACGGCGCCCACTCGATACTTCCTTCCAGCTTTCTCGGAGACGCCCTAGAGGCCGCAAAACTCAGCAGCGGCGCTTTCTACCAAGACTTCCCAGCATTACACTAAGGTTGGTGAGATGCCCGCGATCGCGATCGCTCGCACGATGGCCATGGCGGCGCGGTGCGCGCACAGCTTGCACTGCTGACCTGGGCTGGACCTAAGCGTTGTTTCTCGATTTGTGTTCGTTTTGTTTGTCGTGTTGCTGTACCTATGTTATTGTACCTCGCTGCCAAAACAGAACACATGACGCAGCTGAGGTCCAGCAAAACAGCGTGGTCCAGTCCTGCTTCTGCATGCTCATCCGAGGTGCTTGTATGATAAAAAGACCCCATCAGGAGGTTGGTTCATAAACGCTGGCGGCGAGGCAAAAGCAGCCGGCTCCACGGTGCGGCGATCCGGGGCAACACAGGGGGCGAATCGGCCGGCATGCAAGGAGGGACAAAGGACCAGGGCGGACGCGCGCAGAGGACGCAGGGAGGGGAGAGGGGGCAACTTTTTTTTAACCAACGATGATGGGGCCCAGCGGCGGACGGCGCCACAGCCGAGCGACGCACGACGGACGCAGGACGGAGGCGGCGCAGGGGGGGGGAAGGAAGGCAGGAAGGTGTGCCCTACGCCCCAAGGCGCGTCGGCGCGGCATGCGCTCAGGCGAGCACGAAAAAGGTTGTCGATCTCGAGCAGCGTGTGGGTTCAGTTGCCTGGCCCATTCCAGCCGGGGGGCCCCGGCAGAGGGGGGGGGGAGGAAGAGGGGGAAGGGGCAGCGCGCGCCGGGCGCGCGCCCTGGACCTCACGGGCCCAACGCTGGCGGGGGGGGGGGGCCGCGCAGAGCGCCCCGCCGGGGACGATAGGGGGCACAGGTCGGGGTCAAAAAGGGCCGTCGGGTCACAGGCTCGCAAGCTCGTGGCTGCTGCTGTCTGCCCCGTCGCCGCCTCGGCCTTGTGGGGGCCCGTCGTGGGCTCCCGGGGCCATGATCCGTCTCTGGGGCAAAGGAGCCCAGGCACACGCAAATGAAAAGGCACCCATCTCAGGATGCCTGATACTCTCCCATGTAGTCATTCTGGGCTTTCGGCTCCCTCCTCCTCCTCCTCCTCCTCCTCCTCCTCCTCCTCGTCCTCCTCCTCTTCCTCCTCCTCCTCCTCCTCCTCCTCCTCCTCCTCCTCCTCCTCCTCCTCCTCATCCCCCCCCACTTCTCACGGGAGCGACGATGCATTGTGTCTGTGTGTGTGTGTTCTCCCCTCCTGGTGGGCAGGTGTCTGGGAAGCTCGGGGGAGGGGCTCCCACGCCACGGAAGAGCCCGACGGTCAGATGCCCGGGAGGAAAGCAGCCACCGTGCAGACCATCGTCGTCGTCGTCGTCGTCGTCGTCGTCCCTGAGGGGAAGGGGAAGGGGGGGGGGAGGAGGAGGAGGAGGAGGAGGAGGAGGAGGAGGAGGAGGAGGAGGAGGAGGAGGAGGAGGAGGAGGAGGAGGAAGAGGAGGAGGAGGAGGGAACGCTGCAGCCACCGTGCTAGAGTCTGACCAACGTCGAGAAGGAGGAGGCGGACGAGGACGAGGAGGAGCAGGAGGAGGCGGGAGCGACCCGGGCATGGACCAGGCCCTCCGAACCTAGTTTGAGGGGCACGCGCCTTCTTGGTCTGGCTAGGACGTCCCGCCCCACAAGCGGGGAGGCCAGGCGCCGCCTGGGGCGCGGCTGCAACCGCGCGCGGCTGCACGGGACGGGCCCGTGCGGCATGCTGGGCGCCGACGGGGCCGCCAGCGGGCGGCACGACAGCAGCTGTGCGGAGCGGGCTGGTGCCGATGAGCGAACCTCTTCTGCGAGCAGCGCTCAGCGGTCACCTTATGATGGCCTGTGTTCCACAACCACCACTATAACTTTGAGGGGGAGGGGGTCCTCCTCCACCTCCTTCTCCGCCTCTTCGTCCTCCTCCTCCTCCTCCTCCTCCTCCTCTTCGTCCTCCTCCTCCTCGTCCTCCTCCTCCTCCTTCCCTCCTCCAACTTCTGGTGGTGGTGGTGGAAAACAGGCCCATCACCTTATGCTCTGGTGCGCCGAAGGATTGGGGACAGGATGAGGGGGGTTAGCGCATCGTGGCCCGAGGCATGTGCGCGGACGAGGGGGGCGGGGAAGCGCATTGAAAGAGGAAGAATGGCCTGTGCAATATTGTAGATTATGTTACCTCGGCCAAGATGCCCCCCCCCTAATCCTCACCCCCTCATCGACGCCCCCAGCATTAAACCTGGCCCCGGAAAGACGGGGAGGGAATGGGAGGCGGAGGAGGGGAGAACTCTAAGGAGGGGGACAAGGAGGGAGGACCAGTGCAAACCCAAGAATCATCAACGATATTGCAATAACCCCTCCCTCCAAGTTCCCTCTCCATAGGCCCCTGCAGAGATTCATTCATTTTCACTGAGGGAACTGCCCCATTGGAAGACAACCGTTTGAAAATCTGGAAATATGCCAAAACATCACTCCTGGGACGTCAACGCAGCGAATCACCGCTACTGTTGCGTCTTGACGATCCAGAATCGTGCCAGAACGCCGTTCCTGAGACCTCAACACTGCGAATCAACGTGACCGTTGCGCCCTGTCGACATCGTGCCAAAACGCCAATTCTGGGAGGTTAGCCATTCGACTTCTTGAAACTGCTGCAAAAACTTAAGACGAAAATGCGAGGCGCTAAGACGGGAACCACATATTGAAAAGGCCTCCATCGGAGAAGCTCCTGTAATTTGTTTAAACGAACGTGCGCGGCGCTAAGGCGAGAGCCACATTTCGAAAGCGGGCCGCCCTACATCAGTGAAACCGTTGTAAATTTCATATGCAAGGATCATAGAAGGTGTGGAAATATTTGGCGAAACGTCTGGCCTGCCCTTTCGACCGGCCTCGGGATGCAACAGGGAGGAGTTACATTTATACAAGGAAGAGGGATTGATGAAAGAGGACGAGGTGAGGGGGGGATGAGGAGGGGGGGAGGAGGAGAAAAAAGGAGAGAGGAGGGAGAAGCCTCCCAGACCCCCTAGATCCCCTAAAACCAGAGAGCACGTTTCATCGTCCCAGATTCCCTGGATCACCCCCTGACCTCAGGATCGGTGGGCACATGAACCAATCTTGGTTTGAATACTGGCCTGCCCAAGATCGGCGTCGGCATCTGTTGATCCGTTGGCGTCCCCCGAACCCAAGTCTTGCTGACGCCCCTGATCCTCCACCTTGCACAAGGATATGCACGCCTTGGGGTGGAAGAGCTGCTTGGGCGCGTTGAGGTGGGCCTGGCTGAAGGCCTACCCCCGCTGAAAGGAAAGGGGGCGGAAGTAGAAACGGCGAGGGGGAGGAGGGCGTGGCAGGAGGGGCAGGACAGCAGACGGGGGAGAGAGGAGGGAGGCAGGATGAAGAACAACGAGGGATCAGAGCAACCGAAATGAGCACGAAAAGAGTGACAGCGAAGACCGACACCAGCTCCTGCCCGTCAAGAGCATGACTCGCTGTCGGTGTCGCCGCGGAGTCTGCCCAACTGTTTTACGCCTGCCAGGCAGCGGCCGCTGTCGGTGCTGGACAACATGTGCTGCTGGGCATCGTGCCCACTTCTTCTGTACCCTTTTCGGGCATGCCACGGGGAGGAGGGAGAGCATGAGGAAGGCTACCGTTGAGGCCAGTCCACGAGACACCCGGCCCC